GTGAGGTACCGTCCTCTCTCTCTCTCTCTCTCACACACACACACACACACAACGCACACGCACACGCAGCTTTTCGTGAGCTCACGTGATTCCTTTGGTGTTTGTCAGATTCACTTGGAGCCGTGGTGCCTGGCCTACATCCTCACCAACCCCAAGGTGGACCTCGATGTCAACATCTCCTCGGCGAGCGTGCCCACCCGCACGCCCGGCGCCCACCGCGAGTCGAGCGCCTCCGCTGCCGAGGAGGTCTACAGATAAACACGTGGTACCACCCAAGTGTAAATAGAAGGAAGATAGCGATGTAAATACAAGAAGACCTCCTCCTCCATTACTAGTCGCCCAGGCTGTTTGTTGGCTTCTTGCTGCTCTTCCGCAGGCTTGTCTCCTTGCTCTTCTCCGTCTTGGCCTTCTCCTTCTCCTCCTTCCTCTTCTGCTTGGCCTTCTCCTTCTCCTTGCTGCTCGACAGGGCCGCCTTGTGCTCCTTCTTCGCCTTCTTCTCCTTTTCCTTCTCCTTTTCCTTCTTCTTCTCCTTGCTGCTCGACAGGGCCGCCACCTCCCTGCTACCGGATGGGGAGGAGGTGGCGGACGGCCGTTTCGCGGGAGGGACTGACGAGCGAGGGGAGAGGACGGGCAGCAGGTCGACGGGCGCGGGGGTGAGCACGTCGTAGACGTTGTCTCGCTCGCCCTCCCGGAACTCGACCAGCAGCTGGCGGTACTTGGACCCCGTCAGCGGCGCGAGGAGGCCCAGGGTGGCCTGGTAGGTCTTGACCAGCTTCTTCAGCGTGGGGAACACCTGGTCCTCCTTCAGCCAGTAGCCCCGCCCCGGCGAATGACTGCACACGACACACACGACACACACGGCCAACGACACGACACGCAAGCCTGTGAGCACCGACCACAGGAAGATGGGGCGACGGGGTGGACCTGATGCGGAAGCTCTGGATGTTGTCTTTGGAGGCGAGAGTGGTGATGGTGAAGAAGCCCGGTTGCAGGCCGCTGAAGCGGATGACGTACGAACCGACGGCCTTGCCCGCCAGCAAGATGCCCATCTGCTCCGACGACGCGTCGCCATAGAAGCCCCTGAAAGCGAACGCGAGGCGGTGAGTGGCGAGGCTCGTGTGTGGCATTACTGTAGGACAGCACACAAGGATTCGATGGCGGTACTTGATGCGGATCGTGGTGAGGACGTTCTTAAACAGCTTGTCGCCCTTGGCGAACGGCCCAAACCACTCCAGCACCGCACTGAACCTCTCCAGCGTCACCTGTGACGTGTGATCTAAGAGCGATTGCACACGCGTGTGATGTGCGTGTGATGTGCGTGTCGTGTGCATGCGTGTGCGTGCCAGAAGTAATGAGAAGCCCGGCACGACCAGGAAAAGGGAGCACGAGTGGGGTACCTGGGACGAGGACCATGTGGAGGGCCTTCCATCGGATGTCCTTTTCCAAATCGCCGTCGGCAGTCCTGATGCCGCACCACGACGCCAGCGCACGCGCAAACACGGGCCACTCGACCGCCAGCAGCAGCTCCTTCTGGTGCACGAACGAGTCCCGCCAGAACGCACGGCCCAGCGCGTTCACCTCCGATATGGCATCGTCCAGCACCACTGGGGCAGGCAAAGGGGTGGTGAGTCCATGGCGCCCCCGAAAATGGGGTGGATGGGGGGAATGGTGGTGGGCACCTTCGTCGAGAATACGGGAGTCGAGGATCTCCTGGAACGTGGGCCGGTCGGCGGGGTCATGCGCCCAGCATTGCTCAATCAACTTGGCCAGCTTCGGCGGACAATCATGCGGAACCTGTGTGCGCACGAACACGACACATACGACCCACAAGGCCACGCACATCAGCGTTGGTCCAGGATTAAGCGCAAATAGAAGGGGCGGTACTGACCACTGGTCGTTTCTTCTCCTCGACGACGTGACAGTAGAGCTGAGCGAGGCCGAGCGCATCGGTACGGAACTTCTCGTCCGTGTAGGGCACCTTCTGTGTCACCAGCTCCCACAGTATGATGGCGAACCTGCGCGATCCGGGCCAACGCCAGATGAGAGGCGTGTGCGTGCGCGTGTGCGTGTGCATGTGCGATGAACAGTACGCGTAGACGTCGGACTTGGCATCGGGAGGGTGCTCATTGAGCGCCTCGGGCGACATGTAGAAAGGCGTGCCGCCCACGCTTTTCGTGTCCTTCAGTCCGTACACCTTCGACATACCAAAATCTGCGTCCCGCTGGGCAATGAATGACCACATTCACCGGTAGGTAGCCCCACACAACCCACGAACGAACACAACGTAGGTACCGGCGACCTTGGTCACGAAGTTGGCGTTCACGAGGAGGTTCGCCGTCTTGAGGTCCTGTTTTTGGCACCGGTGACGTCAGCAGTAGCCCACACGCGCAGATCCGTCCAGATATCCCTGCGCCAAGCATACGTACCAAGTGCCTGCAGGCCACACTGTGAGAAGACAATAAAAAAAGAAAAACAATACTAACATTATTTTGATGAGAGTGGAACGTACAGGATGGGGTGGGGCTTGTTGAGGTGGAGGTGGTTCATGCCGAGGGCGCAGTCCTTGGCGGCGCGCATCCGCTGTTTGAAGGCCAGCCGCGTCTTGCCCCGGTGGAGCAGGTCGAACATGGATCCGTTCTCCATGAGCTCGGTCACCATGAGCAGCGTGTCCGTCGCTTGCTCGATGCAGACGCCCATCAGCAGCAACACGTTCGGGTGCAACAATTTGCTGCACACACACGCACACGACACACATGCACGACACACAGCACAAAGCACACAGGTTGAGGGGGAACAATTGCGTGCGATGGTGTTCAAGGTGCGGGGCAAACCTCATCACGGCGCATTCGTTACGGAAGTCGTTGAGCACCTCGGTGGTGCGTTGGCCGATTTCGCCGTTGCGGCTCCACACGATCGGCAACGACTTCACCGCCACCGTCTTGCCCCGCAGTACGCCCTGGCGCAGATGTACGCCAGTTGAGACCACCAGCTGCCCACGCGCACACACTCGCCGCCGAAAGGTACCTTGGTCACCGTGCCAAACGCGCCTTTGCCCAGTGTGACGTCCTCAAGCTTGATCTCGTCACGCGCCAACTCCCTGCAGGTCACAGCCTATTAGGTCAAGCTCTATATACACCATTTACAAGCCACGTGCATGTTGCAGTGGTGCGAGGCTCCAGTGAGTTGTGGTGAAGTGGAGTAGTCGGCGTACCAGGTGAGAATGTCGTGCGACAGGCCGGGCTCGCCGCCACCCGACTCTCCTCCTCGCGACAGTGTGGACCGTATGAGATGACTCGACGCCGAGCCTGGCCCCCTTTTCATTCACCGCCGCACCAGTCAATACAATGGTTGGTAGGTGGTGTGCTGGGCAAGAGGTAAGCGTGCCTCTCGCTCATGGGGCTGATGTAGAGCGAGTTGGGGGTGACGACCGAGCAGCGAGGGGTGGATGAGGCGAAGGAAAGACGTTGGTCTTGCCGGCGTTGCGTGCTGCCAGGAGCATCTGGCTGCGCCGCTCGTCGAGAGCGGCAGAATTGTAGAGCTCGTGGAGCCGCACGTACTCCTGGCCCAGCCGCTCGTCCTCAGCGTCGAGCGAGATCAGCTCGTCGGCCGTGCGGCGCTCGAAGCCGTTGGCGATGGCTTGCGCGAACCGGGCGCGTATGTTGGTCTCCACGAGCTTCTGCTGCTGGCTGATACTGCGCATCTGGCCCAGGTAGTCCTCCATCTCGGCCGATACAAACTGGTGGCGATCCGTCGTAGCGGAATCCATTTTCCTCTCCTCCTCTTTCGTTGTTCTATCGATAATACACTCTACGTCCCCCCCTCAATGTCTGCCTCTCTCTGCCTCCTGATCCTCCTTCTGTTCATGTTCCTGCCTGCACGGTCACCATCTTACCTAAAACAGAGTGTGCGGAATGTTTGGCATGCCATTTTTTTGGCGGAAAGCAGCTATGCGTAACGCGAAAGATGAGCGAAGCACAATCAAGCAGCGTGCTTGAACGGGTGTGCTGGCAAGGGGCAGGAGAAGAGGTTGGGTTCCAGAGGATGAGATACGTGCCCTCATAAGTCCGTCCTCTGTTCTAATCCGCGGGAGGTTGTATAATCGAACATCCTCATGATCTCGACTTGAGACGCCTGAAAATTGTAGTAAACATGTAGTAATTCGTGCTCTGAGTGCCGACCATGGCCAGGGAGGGGAGTTTGTTAGAAGACCAGGCGGCCCTTCTTGACGACGTGCTCGAGCGGCGGATCCACCATCTGGTAGATGAGATGCTCCCAACGCGGCGCGTTGACGATGAGCAGGTCGCCCACCTTGCCCACCTCTAGCGAGCCGTGCGTCGCGCTCTTGTTCAGCGAACCTTTATGGACCCCGATACAGCCACGCCGCCTCTCAGTACCAGCCAACGATACACTCAAGGAGGAGGGAAATGAGCAGTACAGTACCGGCAGCGTTGATGGTGGCAGCCACGAGGGCCTCCTTCATCGTCATCCGCATGTTGACGCACGCCATGTTCATGACCATCGGCATCGACATGCAGTGCGCGTTCGGGTTGAAGTCACTGCCGAGCGCCACCGGCACACCTGTTGGTCGCAGACATGGATCCATGTCAGGGCACCACGACGCACACTGCACTACGAACTCGGGGCTTACCGGCTTCGATCATCTTGCGAGCGGGCGGGTGCTCCAAGCGAAGGATGTAGGCCGTGGTGGGCAGGAGCACAGCGAACGTCGGGACCTTGGCCATGGCTGCAATGCCTTCATCACTCACCTGCATTCCATGGTACCGTCATGAAGAGCAATGCAACGCGTTGATGGTGATTCCCCCACCGCCTACCATGAACCTGAAGCGGTGAAAGGCGAAGGGAGTGCGAAGGTGCGAAGGTGCGAAGGTACGTACTCGCTCGAGGTGGCTGATGCTGAGCGCACCGAGCTCTCCGCCGAGCTCTCCGGCGTTCATGTAGTTGATCTCGTCGCCGTGGAAGTTGAGCAAAAGGCCGGCCTCCTTGCCCGCCTCAAGAATGCGCCTGTGATTCGTACGCGCGCACATCATCAACATCATCAAAACCCCAAGCGCAGGTCTCGAGGGAGAGTGGAGAGGTTGAGGCCACTATTGTACTTGGTCTGGGCCTGGTCAAACACGCCCTTCTCAAGGAACACATCGATGAGCTCCGGCGATATCTCTCCCTTCGCGGCGAGCTCCTGTTAAGTAGTCAAGAGTGAGCTCTCGCTTTTTCACAGCCATGGAACAGTCACCGCCACGGCCACCCACCACACTACGCACTGAGAGACACCTTACCTTGAGGGCGGGAATCTGGTTGTTGAGAATGTCTTCGGTGGCCTGGTCAGCAGTCATCCCCTTGGGTACCGAGTGGGCGCCCAGGTAGTTGGCCACGATTTCGATCGGCGTGCGGGTCCTGGCTTGATGCAATACCTAAAGAACGAAGAAGAAGAAGAAGTAAGGCAACAATTAATGCAGTTCGACGAATGCAATGTCCCTGTGCGGCGCGGAGGAGGCACACGACGTACCTTGAGCATCTTCATCTCCGTCTCCGTCTCGAGGCCGTAGCCGCTCTTGCACTCGACGAGCGTCGTGCCCAAGCGCAGCATGCGGTTCAACCGTTGCAGGCACGATCCTGCACAGGTCGATTCGAGTAAGAAAGGGTGATGATCGTTGAAACCAAGGCGCGCTGGACGCGCGCACGACGACACACGCACTTACCCAGCAGCTCCTCCTCAGTGGCGGTGCGGGTGTGGCCGACCGTGAACCCGATTCCGCCTCCCGCCTGCGCGCGTGTGGTGGTGCGGGTGGGTTTAGCATTGTTAAACGCAAAACGTTGGGTCACCGCAAGGGAGTAGATGAACCTTGTGGATGTCCATGTAGGTGGCACCCGCCAGCTTCATCGCAAACTCGTGCACGCGGTCGCCGGCCCACACGGGGTGCGTGTGACCGTCCACCAACCCTGCAGGGAGCATCGTCAGAGGAGAGGCTCAGCGCAGTATCCTACGCCGCTCTTACGCGTTGTGGGGGGGTCGCTGGTACCAGGCAGGACCACCTTGCCGGTGGCATCGATGTCCGCTTCGTAGGTGGCGGAGCGGAAGGCCTCGGCCTTGCTCAGCTCCTCCTCAGTGCCCACGGCTGCGATGTTACCATCATGGTCCACGATTATGGTGCCATTCTCAATTACTTCCACCTGGACACAAATTTCGCGTGAGCTTGCAAAGAATCGCAACTGAATCCATTGAGATTAGGGGAGTGCACCTCGTCTTGGTCCTTGCCAACCTTGAAACGCTGCCCGCCCGAGCAGATCGTCACCAGCTGAGCCGCGTTCCTCACCCTCAAACGGTACGCCATGCTCAAGGTTTCACACGAAGTTGTTTCTTTTTTAAAAAAGAAAAACAATTTCAAAGTGGTCAGCCCGCCACGAGTGGCCGCCAAGAACGACGTTTACAGATCGGCGCGGAAGCCCGTCGCTTGGGGAGAGTACATGCTGTTGACGTGCTGCAACGCGATATTGTCATGGAGCGGGGTGGAATCGGGCAGTCGCTGCGAGCCGCGACGAAGAGCAGCCGGCGGGGGCCGTACGTGGCGCCGGAAGCGGTAGACGAGAAAGAGCACAAAGGCCGCAATCCCGATGGCGGCGATGATCGAGATTGGTACGGCCACGCCCGCGGCCACGCCCACATCATCCCCCGAGCTGCCGCTGGTGATGCCTTCACCATCGCCGCCGCTAGCGACTCCGCTGCCGGGCGACGACGTCGGAGACCTCGTGGGCGACCGAGAGGAGGTGGGTGATCGTGTTGTACGCGTGCCGGACGCGCTGGGCGTGGTCGATCGGGAGGGCGACCGCGAGGGCGTTGGGGTCCGGGTGACGTGCGTGCCCGTCGGGCTGACTGATGGGGATCGCGTAGGGGTCGATGTCCGCGTGGGCGACTGGGTGGGCGTGGTCGACCGCGTGGGCGACTGGGGGGGCGTGATCGACGGTGTGGGTGACTGCGAGACCTGCGAAGGCGAGGCCGAGGGTGTCGGCGAGGAGGTGGGCGACCGGGTCGGCGTGCCTGAGGGGGTGATCGACGTTGTGGGCGTTACCGACGGGGTCACCGACTGCGAGGGGGTGACCGAGGGCGACACTGATGTGGAGGGCGTGACGGAGGGCGTGACGGAGGGCGTGCGCGTGACCGAAGGTGTGACCGATCTCGTGGGAGATACCGTAGGCGTTATCGAGCTCGTGGGTGTTACCGAGGGCAAGCCGGAGATGGTGGGAGAGGCCGACGGCGAGGTGTTGGCCGTGGCCAGGCCGTTCATGCGCACGATGTAGATCTTGTTGGTGTCCTCGCTCATGTCGCGGCTGTAGCGCGGCGCACCAGCCACGTTGCCCGACGCCGTGTCGCTTGCGTGTTGCAGCCAGGACTGGACCCAGAACACGTCACCGTTGGCGTTGGAGCGGAACTCGGTCATGTGGCTCCAAGTGAAGAGGTTGGTGACCTCCTCGATCGGCGAGATGAAGTTGCCCAGGCCGTCGATGATCGCCATGTAGTTCTGGATCAGTGAAGGGACGCCGACGCACCCCCCGGAGGCCGGGCTACGAGTACGTTTCGTCCACGCGTAGAGGTACCGATCCACGCCGACGCGGGCCAGGTGGGTGGCGATGATGTCAATGTTGCTTGCAGTGTCCGGGGTCATCTGCTTCCTGTAAACCACCGGCTTGTTGTCAACGTCCGCCTGACATAGAGGGAGTTGGGTAAGCTGTAAAGTCGATCAACAGCGATTGTAGTAGAGTGTGGTGTTGCATGGGAGAATTGTTACAATGTAACCAGCAGTGGGTCACGTACGTGGTTTCCACGGACGACGACGAACCAGGCGGTGAAGCCGCCGCACGCGCCGTTGGTGAGGTAGGTAGGGCAGTACTGCTGGGAGTAGGAGCCCAGGATGAGGTATTCGGGGAGGGCTGAGCTACGGTTCCACCCGCCCTCGGGGTAGACCCAGTCGCCCATGAGGGTCTGGGTCCAGCCGTCGGGAAACCAGTAGGTAGACGCCACCTGCCCGTTGTGCGGCCCCAGGAGCTCGATGCCGCCCTTGCCCGGGTGCTGGGGGCTACGCTGGTAGGGATAGTCCAGCACGGCCAGGGCGATGATGTCTCCTCCGAGCGACCATCCTGTCTTCACCTTGACCAAGCGACGCGCAAAGGAGTGTGAACCGGCCCAGGCCAGGGCGACGGCGACATCCGTGGCGCTGGTCGCGGTCTTCCAGTTGGGGCGTCCCGCAGCGCAGGCCTTCCAGTTGGTGGGGTCGATGATGATCAGCTGCTCGCCCTGGTGGTCGCACCCGCCCTCCGTGGCGTGGTAGTAGGCGTAGTAGACCTTGTAGGGAAAGCCACCGCCCGAGTATGCGTTGGCGTAGTTGGCGTAGCCGTACGCGAGCTTGCCGGGCTCGGACAGGACATTGGACTGAGGGTAGCCCCAAAGGTTGAGGTTCACGTTCTGCAGGAGCGTGCCGTCGTCCGAGTAGAGCTGGAACCACACCCGGTCGAGCACCTTGATCACCACCGCGGCGGTGTTGGCGTGGGCCACGAGGCCCCACAGCTCTGTCGAGATGCCCGTACCGCGGGTCTTGGAGTGGCAGGCGTGGATCGACAGGCAGGTCGAGTTGCAGGCCAGGGTGGCACCGCGGTTCTTGTAGTCCTGCAGGCCGAGAGTGTTGACCTTGAACTCGCTGATGATGGAGTTGTCATTGGCGAACTTAATCACCTTGATGTAGTTGTTGAACTTGACCCCCACGCGGTACGTGTTGTCGTCTTCCGACATGGCCACTTCGAGCGCGCCGAAGAAGGGGTCCTCGCGCGGGCAGATGGTCGGCATGCCCGTCTGGAGCACGCCCACACCGCCCGCGTCCGCGTTGGCCACGTAGGTGTAGATCTTGGCGGTGCGGGCCAGCGGGCCGATGGAGGTGTAGACTCCGGGGCCAGTCACGCTCGACTGGCTCAGGTCGACCACCGGGTCCATGCTCCCCAGCGTCTGAGACATGGGGGCGCCGTTTATGGTGGGCTGGAACCAGGGCGCGGGATAGGAGAGGCCCAGCGTGCCAGGCTCTGGACCACCCGCCCAAGGTCCCTTGGACAGGTCGCCATTACCGCCGCCACCGACAGCCACGCCGCACGATGGCCACACCCCCTGGGCAACGAACAGTACTTGGAGGATGATGAGGGCGGCAGAAAGCCGACTCGTTTTTTGAGCCATGCGGCTGCCCCTGACGTAAGATCTTCAAGCTGCTGAGATGTGTTAAAGTGTGATCTTTCCCTCTTAGCACTGTGCCGTGTTTTGTTAGTTAGCGGGGCTACTTGCTCCACGGACTGTCGATCCAAATCAAGGCATGCGTGGTTGGCCTACCATTATTTGGGGAGTTTCTTTTCCTTTTCCACGCATGGAATGCAACCTCGCACGCCGAGGATGCCGAGAAGAAGGAAACGGGCGAAAGGAACCCCCTTGTGTGGCATTGAGCACAGAATCGCTATTGATTGGGTTCCTTTTGGTTGATGAGTAGGCACGAACGAGCCTTGCTGGGTGGATCTACGAAAAGTGGAGTCCACCATGCGGCAAGCTGTTCTTCGCCGATCAGACCTGCACGCCCTCGAGGCACTGGAGCGACGACGAAGCCCAGGCTGAGGTGACTGGACCTGCGAGGGACCTGCACCTGTGCGGGCTTCGCCAACAGACGCCCAAGGAGGTGGCGAGCGACGTGGCAATGGTCCGGCGGCAGATGGCGCAGGGAGCAACACGAGAAGAAATGAGGCGGCCAAGCACAAGAACGACACCCGACGTTGGATGAAAAAGATCAGGTGATTGGAGAAAGTTCTTTTTGATGATGATGGCGATGATGAAGAGTACTACGAAGTGGTCGGGTCTGGCTTGGGGTCGCCGTCGAGGGAACGGAGAGGAGGAGGGACCAGGTCAGGACGAAGTTCTTCCTCGAGGCTGCCCACAGAGCCAGCGGCCTCCTCCTGTGCGCCCTGATCGTCAAGATACTCGTCGTCCTCGCCGCTGTCCACGTCGTCCAGGCCACGGAGCAGGCCGCTGGGGTCGATGGCGTACATCAAGATCTCGCCGCTTAGCAGCCCCACGAACAGCGCGGCCGTCGTCGCGACGCTGTCGCTGCAACAAAGGAAATCAACATGAAAAACGTCAGGTCACAGGCCTCCTGCGTAGTCACACCTTCATGCGCGCGTGCCCTGGCGCACCTTCGTTTCGTGTCGTCCGTCGAAGGGAAAATGATGAGCGAGAACGCCGTGACGGGCGAAGGAGGCGTGTGCGGTGCTCGGAGATTGTAGTCGAGCTTGTGAATCGGGACAAGGTCGTCCAGTCGCCGGACGACAATGTAGTTGCCGGCGGTGACCAAAAAGCGCTCTCTGGCCGGCCCGTCTGAAAGAGGAGGAAGAAGTGGGAGGTGAGTGAGTGAGCAAGCGTGGAAAAGGTGGGATAAAAAAGAGTCGAGGATGGCATACCAGTCGATGAAGAGGGAACGATCTGCATGCCGGTGAACTTGTCTTCGCATGGGCACCGCGCCAGCAGCTCGCCGTTGATGGAGTACAGCAGAATGTCCTCCTGGGTGCAGATGACAATCTCGCCACGTCCCGACAGGCCGAGCCTCTCCACGACACTCTCACACCTGCCGTGACGCGTACGCACGCAGACATGTGTGTCGAGGTTAGCAAGCCGCGACTTTCTCTCTGCCATAGCGAGTAGAAGTAGGAAGGAAGCCAAGTGCCGGTACCGAATCGTGCGCAGGTACTTGCCCGAGAAGAGGGCGTGTAGGACGCAGGTGCCGTCCTTGCTACCACTGACGACCAAATCGAGTCCCTCGGCGATGGCCACACACGTTACCTCCTCATCTGCGGCACACGTGTGTCACAAAGCCAAGGACGGACGTCACCACAAGTGCACAGACAGGGCAGGCCCAATCAAGGCAAAGAGGTGTGTGGGTTTGTGATATACTGTGAGCACGGAGAATGTGGCGCGGTGTCGGGTCGATGCGCTTGGTCGAGGGGCTCGAGATGACGTTCCACACAATCACGCAGGTGTCCTTCGAGCCACTCACGACCACGTTCTTGCTCGAGGCGAAGCACGTAATGTCGGCTCTGTGCTCGCGGAAGGCTGAACGTTTTGCACGCGCCCAAATCAAATAGAACTCACCTTGTTAGCCAGGCCTGACATCGCAAAGAGAGAAGTTATACATAACATGAGTAGGTGCACGTACTCTGAATGATGCTCGAGTTCTGAAGGAGACAGAATGCATTGTCCTTCTGGACGCAGGCCAGGGAATAGGCCGTGGGAGGCCGGTTGCTGCTCCCGTGCGAGGCATCGTCCTCTTCGCTGTTGATGATCGCAAACGGGGCCTCCAGTCCGCACGACCAGTTCGAGCTGGCCTCAAAACTGAACGGGAGCCTGGGGCACGACGCGCACCAGCGACAATAGGGGTGAGTCACGCGTCGGGTCTATGCCCTGAGCAAGACGGGGTACCCTTGTCCGTTGCCTTCGGGCAACCACCGGCGAGCATAGGTCTCGCCTCGCGCGCAAATGGCAAAGAAAGCGTTGGGCAGCGCCTGCATGACCAGTGGCGGCGAGAACGACAACGTGCTTTGCGTGAACGGCTTCAGGTCTGTGGAGGGCAATCCCATTCCACACACACACACACACACACACGGTAAGGGCTTTCCTCAGGAGAAAGTCGGGAATGAGGGATGCTGCGTGTACCGCTTGGATGGAAGATGTAGCCGGGCGGATTGCGACTGGGGTGAGGCGACAGGAAGAGCTGCGAGGGCGTCTGTCCAAAGTTGGCGATCTGCACCTCCACAGCCTCCCGTTCCACATCGTTCTTGATCGACTCCAGGTCGACAGCGCCCTCGTAGGTGAGGAAATAGAACAGGTTGTGGGAAGCCACAGCCGCGGGACCACGTTGCTTGTAGCCTACGCGCGCGAAAATGAAAGGACCATTAGTGGCGCTGCCGATAGGCTTGAGTGTGACGGAGGTTGGCTCTCTGGACATACCAAAAATGAGGTCGATCCAGTGGTGCAGGTTCTGCGACACGTAATCGCTCTCCAGTGCCTCTCGCTGGATGCGGATGAACTCCTCGGCGGAGCTCGCCCACGGAGGAAGCATCACGTCATCAACCTAGAGGGGGGGGTGGTTGGAAACGCGAGAGTGAGGTGTATGCTCAGGCAAGTTCACGGGGACACTAGTAGCTGGACCACGGGGCGTACCTTGTGCCCGCTTTGCATGATACCCAAGTCGAAGGAGGACGAGTTGGTCAAAAACTCGGGCAGGTAGAAGAACTCTGTACGGACGGGGAGAAGTGAGTGTGCGCGAGCGAATGCGCGGTTAAGAGCCAACTCGCCCCGAAAGCGCGACTTACCGGGCGTGAGCTCCTTGACGTCGCTGAAGTCGGTGAGGACATTCTGCCAGGACTGCCAGATGGAATGGAACTGCCGATCGGGGTGATCGAACGTGCCGCCTTGCAACTTGATGGCGTAGCGGGAGAACGGCTGCAGCCGGAGCAGATAGTACAGCACCGAGCCCACGCTGCAAGAGGTCGAACGAAGAGAAAGATGAGTCAGCAATGAGGAAGCTTGCTGCTCCACAAGGGGACAGGTCGAATGCAGTGGGTGCGAGGGCGGGAGTGCTCCGTTACAAGTACCTGCTGTAGTGTGAGCCGTAGTGAAACTTGGGGACCTGCGGATCGTCAAACATTTCGTATCGCTCGATAAAGCGCTGCAGGCGCCCCGGCTCCAACGCGCCGACTGAACCCAATTCGTCAGCATCGGCAAAAGTGATCACTTGAGCTAGGCCTGGGGTCCGTTTACCTGGCTTGGAGAGGTCGCGGTAAACCTTGGGATCGTTGAGGTCGATCGTGTCCGACTCGTAGTCCGCCAGGACCTGTTGCCGCGCAGGGAGGACACAGTGTGAGGTCAAGAAGTAGCGGCTAAGGGTCCACGAGACTTTCTTTTACTCACCCATGGGAATACGGGATACTGTGTGAGATCGTTGTAGGTCCTGCCCGCAATGGTGTTGCAATACATCTGGGGTGCATGCCATAGGGAGAAAGAAACAAGTAAGAAACTGGTTTCGTTGGTGTGAAGAGCACGGCGCATACCAGGTACTCGAAGTTGGAGATACGTCGCTCGACCCAAGCTTGGGTGTAGCCCGACCTCTGCCCGGCGGTCACCACCAAGAGTACGTGTTGTCGTGAGCACTACACGACGAGGTCTGCTTTGGGAGAGAGCTTCTTCAAAAGGTTGGTACGTACCTGCATGATGTCCTGGGGATGCGCTGACGTGAATCTGGTGGGCTCGATGGTCCTTCCCGCCGACTTGAGTATCGAGACGAGCGTGTCGAACACCTTCTTGCGCACCTTGTCGGCCGGGAACTGGAACATGTAGTTCTTCCTGTTCTTGAGGAACACCTCCAGCGCGTTCCAGCGAAGAAGATACCTGGAACGTGCAAGTGTGATGAGGTGAGCACTCCGCGGCGGCGGCGGCGGGGAACAGGGAGAGAAAAGAGCTCAAAGGGGAGCTGCACCTCCGACGATGCACGGCATCGACCTGCACGATTGGCCACTTCCTGTCGCGCATGCTCTTCTCCTGCCCGGTCCGATCGCGGATGAAGAAGTAGACATTGGCCTTCGTGATGTCCAGCCTGCCGTCGATCACTTGCAAGGGGCGCACCTAGTAGGGGCAAACGCATCACCGGCTGTCATGAGTCGCACAGACTTCGAAGGCAGAGAGAGAAATAAAAAGGGACGAGCTCCGCACCATCTGGCAGTCGGTGGAAAATATGACGGTCTCCTGCTGCTCCAATTCGAGGCCGACGTAGGTGCTCTTGCTGGCGTCCATCAGCACCCAGTCGGGGTCCTCCTTCTCCTTGAGCGCTGACTCGGTGGAGCTTTCAAGAGTCGCGGCCGTCGCGGTGGTTCTTCGAGGAGTGGCTCACTCTGCTGTTCGACCTCCTCTTCTTCCTGCTGCAACGACCCGGCATCCTCGAAGGTGATGCTGGCGTTGACCTTGAGCTGAGAAAGCAGGTTTTGGAACAGCTCGTCCTCGCCCTTGCCTTGCTCGTCGTCGGCGCCCTTCCTTTTGGTTGGCGATGCCGCTGAGGGGAAGAAAGAGAGAGATAGAGAGCTAAAGCGTCAGCCAGGCGACGCGTCGTGTCATCGCGATCCGCGGGGTAGCACACAAGAGGGCGCACC